CCGGCTGATTTTTTGTATTTTTAGTAAAGGCAGGGTTTCACCGAGTTAGCCAGGATGGTCTCCATCTCCTGACCTTGTGATCCACCTGCCTCGGCCTCCCAAAGTGCTGGGATTACAGGTGTGGGAAGTCCATGTTCTTAGTGAACTGGCACACTGAGACATACTGCCTAATGAGATGGTCTGCCAAGTTAATAATTGTACTTTTCAATGAGATGAAGAAACATCTGTCATTTTTTTTTTCTCAATTTAGTCTGAAAAAATTTTATGTCATTGGTCACTGAAATAACACATATTCTTTTTATAATACGAAAAACATATAAAGAGGAAAACAAAAGTCAACTAGTGTCTTATTTCCTGTTCACATTATTTTAGTGTTTTGCTTTTTAGTACATTTTCAATGCTTTTGTATTTGTTTATATGATGATATGGTATAATAATATAGTATCTTGAGCTGCGTATGGTGGTTCATACTGGTAATCCCAGCACTTTGGGAGGCCAAGGTGTGAGGATTGCTTGAGGTTAGGCGTTCAAGATCAGCCTGGGCAACATAGCAAGACCCCATTTCTTTAAAAAAAAAAAAAAAAGGCCGGGCACAGTGGCTCATGCTTGTAATCCCAGCATTTTGGGAGGCCGAGATGGGCGGATCACATGAGGTCGAGAGTTCGAGACCAGCCTGGCCAACATGGTAAAACTCTGTGTCTACTAAAAATACAAAAATTAGACAGGCGTGGTGGCAGTCGCCTGTAATCCCAGCTACTCGGGAGGCTGAGGCAGGAGAATCACTTGAACCCGGGAGGTGGAGGTTGCAGTAAGCCGAGATCGCACCATTGTACTCCAGCCTAGGTGACAAGAGTAAAACTCCGTGTTAAAAAAAAAAAAAATTATAAAAAAAGTATGTACACACACACACAGGTGTATATATATGTATACATGGTATCTTTGTCTTTTCACTTGTCAGAAGAATTAAAAACTAAAAGCCATAGTACCTCATGAGAAAGTACGAATATTTCTTGATCAGCCTGGGCAATATGGCAAAACCCGGTTTCTACAAAAAAATACAAATATTAGTTGGTTGTGATGGTGCACCTCTCTAGTCCCAGCTACTTAGGAGGCTGAAGTGGGAGGATTGCCTCAGTCTGGGAGGTTGAGGCTGCAGTGAGCCATGATTGCACCACTGTACTCCAGCCTAGGCAATGAGTGAGACCCTGTCTCAAAAATTTAAAAAAAAAAAACAAAAAACAAAAAACGGCTGAGTGCAGTGGCTCATGCCTGTAATCCCAGCACTTTGGTAGGCCAAGGCGGGCAGATCACGAGGTCAGAAGTTCGAGACCAGCCTGGCCACCATAGTGAAATACTGTCTCTACTAAAAACACCAAAAGTTAGCTGGGCGTGGTGGTGGGCGCCTGTAATCCCAGCTACTCCGGAGGCTGAGGCAGGAGAACTGCTTGAACCCGGGAGGCGGAGGTTGCAGTGAACCAAGATCGCATCATTGCACTCCAGCCTGGGCAACAAGAGCGAGACTCCATCTCAAATAAATAAATAAATAAATAAATAAATAAATAAATAAATAAATTTTTGCAGTAATCATAGCATTGATTTAGCCAGATTTTATAACTTGGTAATCACATTCAACCTACTCATTTTTCTGAACCTTTATGCATTTTCTTATCTCAGCTAATTGGTTCCTTTCAGTTGAGACTGCATGTCCTCCCATGATGATCACATCTTTTTCTGCTGCCCATAACCCTTCAGTAGCTTATCAGAAAAAAGTCAAAGTTCTTTTGAATGACATCCAAGGCCCTCTGTGATCTAGCCTTACTTTACAGCCTTCTCTTTCTGTTTTTCCTCAGGACCCAGAATATCTGCATATGACTTGTATATACTTTAATTCCTCCTTGCTTTTGTAAAAGTAATAGTAATTCTCCAACATCCATCTTTTTTTTTTTTTTTTAGAAATGAGATCTTACCATGTTGTCTATGTTACTGGAATTCAGTGGCTATTCAGTTGTGACCATAATGCACTACAACCTCAAACTCGTGGGCTCAAGCAGTCTTCCTGCCTCAGCCTCCTGGTACACTACCGGTGTGCACCACTGTGCCCGGCTAACATCCATCTTCATGAATCTTTCCCTATTTGAGCAAATGACCATGCAGGACATAACAGCCTAGTTTCTGAGAATCAATACTTTTTTCAGAATGGAGAAATAGTAAAATAAGTTAAATAAATTTGGGGGATCTTTTTAATGATTAACTGTTTGGACATAACGTGTTACTTTAGAAGATTGTTATGGGGTTTAAAATTATGTGTATCTCTGGTAACTCTGCCAAGATAAATTTTACCCTCATTGCAGTGATGAAGATGAAGATGAAGCTCTGTACCAGAAGGTATCCTCAGAGCAGGGCCGGGTAGAGCATCTCGGGGACTTGCTGTCCCACTGCCAGGAATGCGGTTTGGCAGGAGACTTCTTCATCTTCTGTTTGAAAGTAAGAACTACCTGTAATTCCTGGTCAGTGTTATTCCAGGGGAGTGCCAGGAAACCCTTTGAATTTTCAAAGCATTTATAATTTTAGATCCTAAAATGTAGGCCCTAATTTAAGGAAAGCGATCAAAGGACATAAAGGAATTTATTTTTTAGTAGCCTTTGGATTGGTAAAAAGAAGAAACTTTTCTTCACTAGTACTCATGTTATCTACTACTTCCTCAAATAATCGGCACTGGCAGTTTAGAGATGAGCAAAGCAGAACCCTCGATCTATGAAAGGGTTAATCTTTGCTCTGTGTTGACAGTAAGAACTCTTTTGAAGTTAATAGCAGGTTTTACAGCTATAGAGTAATCCCTTATCCTTTCTGACTGTTGTTTTGTCAAGTATTTGCAAAGGAGATTTAGCAATTCTGCCTCCTTCATTTCATTTTGCAGGCACCTGAAGCCTTTTCCGGGTTTGTTTCTTAGTGCCAGTGGTTGTGCTTTGCTTGCTTTTCTTCTATTCTCTGACAGTAACTTGTACCCCATACTGTTACTGCTTGTTGCACTGTATGACATCATAAGCCAGTGACCTCCAGCTCTGCCTTCTCAACTCTTTCCCCTAAATAAAGTGTCTACTCTAAAAGAGCTCTAAGAGAATTTAAGGTTTCTGTAGGTATGGGAGAATTCAAGGAGGGAATCAGGGCTAACATTTCTAGAACTTGAAGTAGGAGACACTTTTTGATGCTTTCTTACCTCCCATGTTCACACCCATCCCCATGCCCAGCGATACTCTTTCTAAATAACATTCCAAGGGGATGTGCTCTTAATTGTATACTTAAAAAAAGGTGGCTCACTCCCAGCACTTTGGGAGGCCGAGCCAGGTGGATCACCTGAGCTCAGGCATTTGAGACCAGCTTGGGCAACATGGCGAAACCCCGTCTCTACCAAAAATACAAAAAATTAGGCTGGCATGGGGGCTTGTGCCTGTAGTCCCAGCTACTCGGGAGGCTAAGATGAAAGGATCACTTGAGCCCAGGAGGCAGAGGTTTCAGTAAGCCAAGAAGGGTAGGTGAATAGCCTACAAAACCCTCAGTAATACATAATTTCTTAGAAGTTAGTTCTAAGTATCTTAGAGGAAAAGAGCTGTAGTGCTGGAGGCATGTAATGGTCTCCAAAAGGGGTTTGAGAATGTGAGGTGATCTGAGGCTCAGTTCAAGGAAGGCCACTAGTAGAAATCATAGAAATACCCACAAAGCCGAAAGCTTGTCAAACTATTTCTTTGTGTGTGTGTGTGTATGTTTTTTATTGTGAGACTTTAAATTTTTATATACATGGTATCATACTGTATATATTATTCTGAAACTTACATTTTTCACTCAGTAGTGTTTTTTGAGATCTATGTATATTGATACCCATATAAATCTAATTCATTTATTTTAACTGCTGTGATATTATAAATACATCATAATTTTTTCTTATTGCTGGACATTTAGCTTGTCTCCAAGTTTTGGCTATTACAAATAATGTTGCAACAAACACAGACTATTTCTTTAAACATGCAGTTCAAACAGAGTTTTCTACTTATGTTTGAGAAGGCCTTAGTTCTACTGGCTTTATCTTCACTTTTTCTTTCCTGCCATGCTTGTAGGAGTTGACTCTTGTGGCCACGGAAAATGAAACAGGGTTAAAAACTGAGCCCTTCTCCAGCAAGAGCCTCTTGGAATTAGAGCAATATCAGACTCTTCTTGTGGAAGGCCAAGAGCAGAAGCTGCTTGTCCTGCAGCTGATGGCTGTTCTGTGCGAGAGAATGTCTGAGCAGATATTCACAAACATCACTCAGGTCAGTAGTTGCCACATTCTGGACCCTAGCCTTTTTTTCTTTCCAAAAAATATAGTTTAAAAATGTTGCTGAGAGTGTGATTTGATGACACCTGGATCGTGAGGTGTTTCCTGGAATGCTGGTTAAATATGGAAACTACACTGCCCACACCAGGCCACTGAATCCAAAACGTTCCAGTGTCCTGAGACTCCACACGTTTAACAAGCTCCCGAGGTGATTCTCATGCACATAAAATTTTGTCTTAAATGTTTATATGTTATGTTATAGTAGTTTTCAACTTTGGGTGCAAAAAAAGTTATCTGGGATCTTTTTCAGTATATTGATAGCCAGCCCACGTTTAGAGATTCTGATTCAGCATGTCTGCATTAGAGCCTGGGCATCTTTGTCCTACTCAAGCTCCATGGATGATTCTAATGTGTATCAAAACTTGAAAATGATTATACACTCAATTTGAAGAAAAGAAATCACTAATAATAGTGAGATCACCTTGAATTTTATTATAGGTCCTCTAACTCACAGTTATCTCCACAACATTCTGTAAAGTTTTAAGATGTTTTAAAAAATGCTTTTAGAGGAGTATCGTTATGCGAGTCAGTGCCTGAATTTTATTGGCTCAGACATTATTTTTCCCACCTTTAAAAAAGACAGGAAATAAAAGTAACAAAGCAAAGGCAGTACAGTCGCCAGATTTTACCACTTAACCAGAATTAGTTGTTGCTTGGTTGGTCAATAGGCAGTTGTAAGATGGCATGATTGTCACGCTTAAATCTGATTCTCCAGCTCTTTGTATGGTCGTCATTGTCATCTGCCTTCGGGTGTTGCTAAGCAGCATTTCACTATAGCTCCTGCTGAGAAAATTTGCAGCTGCCTGTCAGCTCTGACTTACCGTGCCTGTTTAATGAGAATTATGCTCATGATTTCTTTCCTGGCCTCTTATTCTTTCAGTTCACTGACCCCGTGTTACTCAGTAGGGTGATTTGTTTCTCCTGTGTTTATATCCATTCCCTGAAGACTTTTTCATCCAGACCTTATGTTTTTGTCTCAGGATGCTAGTTGGAAGGGGAAATGGTCTAAAAACTGATATGACTTGAGCTTTTGCACTTAGTTCCCTTTACTCCTAATTAAGGAATAATGGTGTCAGGCTGGTACAGAAATGATTTGTCCCATTAAATTATCCTTCAGCTAAGGTTAAAATGTATCAGGGCCAAAAGAACCACAAGGAAATATTAAATTGTATTTGGTAATCTCACTGCTAGTGATAATATTGGTATATTATTTTATTTTATTATTATTTTTTTGAGATGGAGTCTCTCTTTGTCACCCAGGCTGGAGTGCAGCGGCGCAATCTCGGCTCACTGCAACCCCCACCTCCTGGGTTCAAGCAATTCTCCTGCCTCAGCCTCCCGAGGAGCTGGGATTACAGGTGTGTACCACTGTGCCCAGCTGATTTTTGTATTTTTAGTAGAGATGGGGTTTCAC